CTTGCATCTATTGAAGGCACCTCACCTTCCGAAACATTGTGCCACATTAAAGAAGGGGGTCTGCAGGGGTCAGGGCATTGAGTTTTCCATACCCCCCCCTAGGGGTTTGGGGGCCGCCTCGAGGTCATGAGGGTTTTTCTACATCCAGGCAATACGTTTTTCTTGTTGACTTTGGGGCACTTGCTTGGTTCAGCCAGACCCACGAACATAAAAATCCCTCTGTGTCATCCAAACACGCGTGCGGGCCTGCTGGGGTCCTAGGGGGGCCAAATCAGTGGTCTGAACCTTGGGTGCAGTACGCCTTTTGAAACAGGATCCAAATGGTAGTCCCAAAGAGGATTGAAAAGTATCTCCGCCCCCCAGGGGCTGAAAAACTGATGAGAGATTTCATCTGACAGGGACAGGTCTTTCCCTGACCCGGCGCCGAGGATGGGGGTCGGTAGCAGAAGCCACACGGAAGCCCCCCATTGACATTGCCCGGGGCGGGAGGGGGTAACAGAAGGGAGCGAAATCACGGGGCCACCCCCCCTTTGGGGACCCGAGCTGTTTTCGGGGCGTGGACAACCCCACCCGACAGAAGAGGCATTGCACTCGGGGGCATTCTGCACCACCTTTCCCGGCTGCATTGTGGGTGCGGAAGGCTCGGGTGTGTGCCATATTACACCGATGGCCCAGAGGACCCGTGGCAGGCTGCCGCTGCTGGGATGTTCCACAGCAATCTGCAGAGGTTGGGGTCAGCATAGTTGCTGTCCCGTGTTATATAGCAAGCTTATTTGTATCATCCAGTGCTTTAGATGGAATCCCTTTTAGGCCCGTGATGTTGTGGGGACGTCAGGGATGCGCATGTGACGTTTTATATCTGCCGGCCTCAACGGCTGTAGACCTACAGGTGAAAACAGGGAGAGGGGGCCCCCGTTCATCACCACAGTCTACAATATATATGTTACCATCCCAAAAGTGTGTCTACCCTTTAACCCTCGAAACTCCATTTAAAAACCCCCAGAAAAAGGTGGGAACGGAGGCCTGTAAATTTTCGATTACAGTGATTTGGAGATAAACATCTTTGATAGGCCTCCCGAGAAAGGGTTAACCCCCCGCCCGCTACCTCAAATCGCTAATACCCAAACTTACCAGCTTCTACACCTCCACTGGTCATCTCTTTTGTATAGTGTTTATTGTTATTTGCATCCTCCGAGGGGTTGACCCCGAGTTTGCAAAATAACCAGTTTCAGTCTGTGGGGGGGAGTCCAGTCCGCCTAGTTACTTCATCCAGTTCTTTTTCCCGCCCCAAACCGCTT